CAGAGCTATCCAGTCGGCCTGTAAAAGTGAATATAAGTTTTCTTAAAAGTGCTTTAAAAGTACAAATGCCTGCTGTTACAAACATCTGACTGGCACTGCCCCCTCTGGGTATTTTAAGTATGATTCTAAAGGCATTATTGTATGCAACTTGCAGCTTATTCATGCTGCTTTGATTGTAGGATGACCACAGTTGGGCTGTGTAAAGCGGAGTACAATATGCTTTAAATAAACCCACCTTAACTGGAGGTGAACAAAAACCAAACTTACGAGCTATAGTATTAGCCTGCGCATATAGCTTACAGCACTGTCTGTGGATGTCAGCATTATCACGCATTTGATCGGTTATAAAGTGGCCAAGGTATTTCACCTTCTCACACACATTAATATCACTATTAGACAGTTTGAACACAGGAAAGTTTAGCTTTTTATCCTGCTTGGTTCTACATATCAAGATAGCATTTTTAACAGCATTATACTGAATATCATACTGCACACCATATTCAGAACAGATATTTAGGAGCTGCTGTAAACCAGCACTACTTGGACTAAAGACCACCAGATCATCCGCATACATCAGATGGTTGATCAAAGTTGTACCCATCAAACATCCTGTGTTACAGGCTCTCAGCTGCACAGACAGATCGTCAACATACAAATTAAATAAGATAGGAGACAGAATTCCACCCTGCCTAACACCATTACTAACGCCAAATGGTGCAGAGATGCTGACACCCCATTTAACCTGCATCGTCTGATGAGCATACCAGTAAGACAGGATTCTCACAATAAACCCAGGGACCCCCGTAGCTTTAACTTAATAAAAAGTTTTCTGTGGTTTACACGATCAAAAGCCTTAGAGGCATCAATACAACACATAAGGACAGAAGAATTTCTATTTCTATACCAGTTGACCATTTCTTTAAGTGCGTATATACACATGTCAGTACCATGTTTTGGCTTAAAGCCAAACTGATTATCCAAGGAACATGTGGTACACAGTGATTCTATCAAATATAAGTCTTTCAAGAACTTTAGACAAAACACTGGCTAGTGCAATCAGCCTATCATTATCCATACTGGTCACCTTTCCAGATTTGTTCTTAATGACTGGAACAAGCACAATTGCCATCATTGAGTCTGGTAGTATGCCATGAATCATAAACCCTGTAAAACAAAGAGCTAAAAGGGGAGCTAGTAATTGGCTAGCATATTTCAAATGCTCTGCACTAATGTGATCCAGACCACAAGCCTTATTATCAGCTAGTTTGTGAATAGCATCATGCACCTCATGGGTCGTTAAACATATAGATGCATCAGTAATTGCAGAGCCATCCTCATGCTGATCACTTTTTAAACAATTAAAATAATGATGTCTCCATAGTGCTGCAATATTATCTTCCCCAGAAACACCTTCAACAGTACCTGGTAGAGATGATTTGCAATTATTAATTGTTTTCACATCTTTCCAAAAACCATTGACATCATTACTCATAAATTTCCTGGCCATAGAATCTACCCTCATGATCTGCTCATTTTTTTTTATATAAAATGAACAGCATACTTATATCTGGCATTTGCAAATTTTTTCTGTTCAAATTCCATACCCTGCCTAGGTCTCCCACCACGTGCTTCATCCTGATACATGGCAACATGTTCTTTCCAGCCAGGCCTGATATGAGGTTTCTGCTTATGCTTACCTTTGACATGAAATGGTCTACCACTTTCATACAAAGCGTCCACTATATCCTCATACATAGAGCGTAGATCACTTTTGTGTTTGAGAATCTTACAATTGACATCTTCACACAGGATAGCCTCTTTAGCCACAGAGATATTGTTCAGGTATTGATCTGTATTATAACTATAAGCCAATATGTCTTTGTCACTTAATGCTGCCATTCTAATTTTATATTATCATCATTATTATTGACATAATTAACTCCCATTGTATCAGGCAGTTGTTCCACATTTATAGCAAAAGCAAAAGGTCTATGGTCTGACACAGTTACCCCATATTTTATAGTCATGCTATCCAAAGCTGCATGACCATCAGCTGTAATAATACAATGATCCAGCCATGATGTAGTATGCCAACCCTCACTAATATATGTGTAACTGTCTTTTGGCAACAACACTTTGCTAGATAGAATAAGATCATTGTCTTCACACAACTGTGTTAAGTGTTTAGCAAACTGAGATTTTTTATCTGAAAGATCAGCATTAAAAGTCGCCCACAACATATATACTATAAGTACTGTGATTCTGAATGAATGCATTAATAAAAGCCAACCTACTAATATATTCCCCTTCATTTCCAGCAGTTTCGTATGGAGTATAAATATTAAGGATAACAAAACTAATGTTATTCTGGATATATTGTATGCCAATACACCAATCTACATCCAGCCTAACTGGCTTAATTACAGCATCAATTCTTTTGTTCCAAAGCACAGCCACTCCTCCTGATATTCTACCCCTGACTATAGCTGTGCTGAGATCAGTAGTTGATTACCCCACTCCGAAAAATTTAGAGTTAAGGCAGTTAAGTTTGTCCAGGTCTTGTTTAGGTAAAAAAAAGTCTCTTGCAAACACAATATTTCACATTCTTCAAGCAAGCTGTCCACAACAATACATCGAGCTCTATCCCCTGCATCCTGGCCCAAACGCAGGCCACGACAATCATAGGACAGCACCCGAAGAGACATGCTTATGCTGAGGTGCTTGGACCAGGGGGAACATCCCCTGCTGGAGACACATTAGTAGAGCGGAGAGAGCGGGGGTTCTCAAGAACTTTACTGATGAAAGGTAGTTTAGAAATGGGCCTAAAGTTACTGGTGGAGCTGGCGTCAAGGTTGGGTTTCTTTAAGAGAGGAGTAACTACTGCATTTTTAAAGTAAGATGGAACACAGCCTTGGCTCAGTGAGCTGTTGATCATAGTCAACAGAGATGGACTGATGGAGGCAAGGGACCCGACTAAGACAGAGGGAGGTAAGATGTCTGATGAGCATGATGAGAGCTTCATCTGACTGATTATTGAGGCTAAGTCATTTAGTGTAATTGGGGAGAAGGAGGTGAAAGACAGAGCACTGGGGGGGCCTCCCCTCCTTGGGGGGGTGTGGGGGGTGTGGGGTGGAATGCTGGATCTCAGATTCAGCACCTTGTTGGCAAAAAAGTGGAGAAAGGTGTTACAATCATCAGCTGAAGATAGCTGAGCCTGCTGCGGAGGAGAAGACACGATGCTGGAGATGGTATCAAACAAAACCTTAGGATTATTCTTATTTTGACATATGAGGTTGCTGAAGAAAGAAGACCTGGCATTTTCTACAGCTTTGTTGTATGACTCTAGAAGTTCTTTAAAATATTTGCGATGAACAACCAAACCTGTCCTCTTCCACCGTCGTTCCGCTTTTCTATAGGAGCGTCTAAGATCAAGAATCTGGTTGTTCAGCCAGGGTGAACTGGAGGCACTGGAACTGCGGCTGGTTTTGTAAGGGGTGACCTGATCTAGAATTTTGAGGCAGCGATCATTAAATGAGTTGGTAAGGAGTTCTACGTCATCAGAGGAAGGAGGTACAAAGTCAATGAGGGAGGAGAAATTTAAAAAGGTAGAACTGTTGATAATACGTTGTTGCTTAGCAGAGACTGGTAAAAGAGATTCAGAATTTAGGTTAATATGAAAAGAAACTGACTTATGGTCACTGAACACAACATCATTTATCTGCAGTTTATCAACAAGAAGTCCGTAGGAAAAGACCAGATCCAGGGTGTGGCCTGCTCTGTGAGTGGGACCAGACACGTGTTTAGAGAAGTTAAAAGAGTTCATCATGTTTAGGAACTCCCTGGTACAACTGTTAGATAGATCCTCAGCATGGATGTTGAAATCTCCAACAAAGATTATCCTGTCTAGTTTAATAGTTGAAGATAGGAGATCCTGAAAGTCAGACAGGAAGGATGAAGTAGATCCAGGTGGGCGATAGACCAGAATTCCATACTTTTTGGCTCGACCAATTTTAATCATGATCATCTCGAATGAGCTGTAGGAGTTTGAGGATATAACTTGGCACGAAAACTGTTTCTTAAAGATAACAGCTGTTCCTCCACCGCGGCCTGTGGTCCGTGGTGTAGAGAAGAAAGAGTAGTCTTGAGGACAGAGCTCACGGAGATGAGTGACGTCATTTTCGCGCTGCCACGACTCAGAAATCCACAAAAAGTTTAATTTTTTGGTGCAGAACAGATCGTTGAGGATGTGAGACTTGTTGGCGATGGAGCACGCATTAATTAACGTCATTTTCGCAGGGAAAACTGGCAATGTGTGTACCGCGGGCTCCATAAGGGCGGTCGGCTGGCGAGCTAAGCTACGTAGCGACTCCAGGCTGCGCCCGCGGGGTTTCTTTACCTTTAGGTAGCGTCCTGCATCAGGGGCATTGAGCAGCGAGATCAGCCCAACTCCGTTGAGTTTCTGTTGGATCTGCCACAACACAGCCACGGAGCAGCTATCGGGAAGAGCTTCGCCTCTAAGGATCTTTTGGAGCTGAACGAAGAAGCCAGCTCTCTTCCCCCGTTTCCTCTTCCATGGTCTCCGGGGCAGCGGCAGGCCCACAGGTAACAAAGGGCCGACACCTGGGTTAACGCCAGGTTCCAGAGGCGGTGGGAAAGCGGGTCCGGTATCGGAGTTCTGGAGGTTGATCAACGTGGACCTGATCAACAATAGTAAGTCTCGAGCATATGTTAGCAGGAACTCCGCACCAGATAGACAAAAAACAATATAAAACAACAAATAACCAAAAGAGATCAGGAGCCTAGCAGACGCACAGCCACTCATGGGTGCCATCTTGCCATCAAACTGATGACATGAAAAGCAAGAGAGGTGGGAAGGCAGAGATAAACTTATAACAGATACTTGCAGCATACACTGTTGGTTTTATGAATCGGATGACCATTTAACGACGATGTGTTTGCATTTTGCTTCTGTGACACTCTTGTGCTTGTGTGTCTTTCAGAAATACAAAGAGTTTGAGCATACAGTGCGGGTGGAGGAGATCGATGGGCTTCGGCTGGTGAAGAGGCTGGCAAAGAACATGGAGGAGATGTTTCACAAGAAAGCCCAGGCCATGAAGGTACTGAATCTTCATTTATCACCCATAACAGCAGAATTCTGCACACAGTATTAACTATAGGTGTTGACACGGAAGGTAGGATGAATTTTGTGTTTGTTGTTGGATAATTATTATCTCAAAGGTGCATTGTGGTAGAAACTTTCTTGTGCCAAAGAGAAGAGAAAATACAGCAGTTTTCTTTTCTGTTATCATCTGCAGGAAGCAACAAAGGGGTTTTATAAAGCATACACATCCGGTTTGATGGATAGCTGTCTGGTGGGAAGTGATACAATTTTATGTTTAATGTACTTATCAGCTTCTGTTTTATTGAAAAAAAAAAAAACAAGCTTTGTGTGTCATTAGTGAATAATGGCGACAGGCCTGTTTACTTAATGACTCGGTGCTGATTGCATGGCTCCACACTGCTTTGGTCATTTTTGAAAATAACCTGATTTCACTGATTTTAGAAGAGAGTAGTTTAGTTGTTTCAATCATTGAACTCCACACCGCTGGGCCTGTGTAATGATATGATTTTAAACAAAAACCAAAAACAAGGTAATTATAAAACAACTCAAAACCATTGTGTAAAATATGATATACCCTACTTCAGAAGGGAAAGGAAATCCTTGATTTACAATAATTAGGGTTACTAACCCTGACCCTAGCTAACGTTTAAGCTACTTCCTGTAGCCATCCTCAGAGCTGAGTCAAATAAGGTAAAGAAAACTTGTCTTCTCTGTGTTTAAAAAGAACCAAGAAATACAAAGCAAATCACATTTTAACACTAAAAACAGACAGATTTTGTTTTTGGTGTGTGTTTGTGACGAGATGTGTTGAATGGTTGTGAAAGATATTTAGTAATGTTTTAGAAAAATTATTTGAAACTGATTTCATCTTTTTTTTGTCCCCTCCTGGTGTCCATTTAATGTCCTCATAAAAAGCATCTGCATATAAAACTACTTCCTTTCAGTCCAAGTCTCAGAATAATACATTTATTTTTAATACTTTGAGTTTGAAGAAGCTATTATATTTTTGCTTTGGCCTAGCGGCTTTTATGAAGTAATTTCTTCATAATGGAACCCTGAAAAATATTTTTCTCCAATGGGGCAAAAAAGAAACAACAATTTCTGTGCAAAACATTTTCGTGCAGGAAATCCGTTTGAATATGATAAATGATAAATGACCCGCACTTGTATAGCGCCTCTCATAGTAAGGACTCCAAAGCGCTTTACACTACAGTGTATCATTCATCCATTCACACACTGATGGTGATGTGCTACAATGTAGCCACAGCTGCACTGGGGCGCACTGACAGAGGCGAGGCTGGCGAGCACAGGCGCCACCGGTCCTCCGATCACCACCAGCAGGCAAGGTGGGTTAAGTGTCTTGCCCAAGGACACAACAGCAGAATTCTCTGTCCGGAGCCGGGATCGAACCTGCAACCTTCCAATTACTGGACAACCCGCTCAACCTGTTGAGCTACTGCTGCCCCAATATCTACACGTTTTATGGCACAGAATGCATTTTATTTATTATAAGCTGTACATTATTGTGGCTGTCCAGCAGTTTCTCCACTTGTTTATAATTTGAGCTTTTAATTCACCTACATTAGTATTTTAGTAACTCGACATAAACAAATAAACTTTCAGCATGCCAGTTTCCCTGAGGGTCGATGTTTGTGGATGTCAGTAACAGGTGTTTAGAGCTCTGCCTCTGGCTGCAGCTCTGGCTCCAGGTGATAGATCCTATCAGGACAACATGGTGCTGTTAACAGAAATTGGTTTTCTCTCTGAGAGTCTGATCCAAGGACATGAAAAGCAAGAGAGGTGGGAAGGCAGAGAGTCACAAACCATCTCTTCACTTCTCTTTTTCCACACATTAGATATTGCTACTAGCTCAGATGGTTTGACACAGCTTGTCATACAGTGTTGCAATGACTGACTATTTGCACAAATTTATCCCACACACATAGAAAGGATTTCTGCGCAAAATGAGTCATCTGACATTTAATAAACAACCTCCTGTAAAGTGATTGTTGGAGTGAACGTCACATTTTAACTGGATGTTGTTGCGATTTTCTGATAAATGTTCTTGTAATTAAACAAAAACAGGATTATTCTCATTTCTGGTTACAGATAAAACCATCCGGCCAACTCAATGCAACTTTCTACTAAACACGGAGAGACGATGGCTCCTGCTAATGGCGTCTCTAAAACCCTCACCTCGATGACTGATAATTGTAGATCTCGAGGGACTTTCTGTGTGAGTTTACATGTGTGCGCCGTGTGAACGCTGTGCATGTTAATGTGAGGTGGAGATGAAACACTGGTCAGCAAGCTAATGCACTTTTGCTGTCAAGAAGGCAGAAAAACAAAAAAGGTGGCAGAAAAGCAAGGCAGCGTGTAAGAGGAAAAAAATGTAAAAGGGAAGAAGGAGTGGAAAGTAATGCCTGCACACTCTACACAGGAGTTTTAACCCCTGTCCTGCTGCTATCAGGATTACACTTCACCTTCTGGTTTTCATTCCTGGCAGTCGGCCTTGTGATGAGTTGCTAGTGGCGGAATTGTAATGGATTCTCCCATGAGTGCCTTTCTCTCTCCATCTTGCTCTAATTTCTCGTGGCTTTTATTCCTAAAACTCACATCTCTCTGGCCTTGTGTGCCCTTCTTTTAGCCTTCTTTAAGCATCCCTCTCTTTTTTGTCTATGTTTCCTCTCTCTACCCCCCCCCCCCCCCACGCCCCCATCTCTCTGTCTTTTGCTTAAGTATATTTGACGCTTCAGCGATTCAGTTTCTGTGCAGGCGCTCTCCCCTGCCTGCCATTGTGGTTTTATCTCTTCGTTGGTCCAATCGCTCACTACCACCTGCTATGAGACGGCAGCCTCCATTACCGTAAAAGGGAGCACCTGTAAATGTGTGAGTGTGTGTATGTTTGCTAACATAATATTTTTAATGTGGAGAGAGACGTCGTTTATTGGTATCAGTTCAGATTTGCCCTTTTATTACAGCCTATGTGGAATTAAGCCCATTAATAAGAACTGGGCCCCATCAATTGTTCCATTGATGATGAGAGTGAAGAAGTGGTTTCACACCTCAAAGTGTGACACATTCTGCTACAGTGACATGCAAACATGTAAAAACAGATTTTTTAGGCCTGATACTGTTGGCTTTTGGGTAAGTGAGGTGTTATTTTCCCAAAGTAATTGTGTTTAGAGTTTGAAATTTCTTTTACCTCTTGGGCTAAAAATGAAACAGAATTGTTCAGCCTACAAATAAATGTAGAAATAAAAACTCTTAAGACAGCGTGTAGGGTGCTCAGCCTCACATTTACAAAAGTCTCACTTGCACGCCCCTTTCTAGGCTTCCTTGGTATCAAACACAAGGCATCCTTATAGGCAACCTCCAGCGTACGCATACTTTCTTACAGGTTGTCCAGGTGTGCCGTGTGCAACGGTGTACAATCAGCCTTAAACAAGGTTACATTTACTTTATCAGAACAAGACCCAAACTTATTTTCCTGGGCATATAACATACGGCACTGCCTATACATCCTGTCATGTCCTCTGTGATTATATGACCAAGATTTTTGACTTCCTTGGTATAATTGGTCACTCTGAGCTTTTTACGCAGACTGAACATGGAAATGGTCTCCTACTTCTGCATTCGCTTTTGATAGAAAATAGATGGTGAAACTCTAGAATTTGAAAAGCATCGCATATCTATGTCAAGCAGTTGCTTGGACTCATCCATATTGACTCGAGACAGGGAAGGCTGTGGTTGTTTTCGCATCCAGCAAACAGCTAGCAGAAGCTAACCATTAGCATTAACAACTCAACCACACCGAAAAGCTCCTCCAGACTTGTGTTATTTAAGGAGATATGTAACACATTTCGCAGAGCAAACTGAGTTAGTTGTAGTGGTAGAGTCACGTTGTTATTGTCCAACTCAAGGCAAGATATCCAAATATAAGGATATAAAACTCCAAATCCTGCTGTATGCTTCCACTCTCTGCTGCAGCAGACTTCTCCGTGTTGATCAGTGACACATCTGGGCTTTTTTGCCTTGAGTACAGCTTGCAAGGCATTCATTGTAACACTAACCCTAAAGAGCTCACTGGTAATGTATTGATTAAGCAGAGTTTCCCACACCTTTAAAGGGAGTTTCTATTGAAAAGTTACAGACAACTACTGTATTGTCCTTTCTAAGTAGCTATTTGGGACAAACTCTGTTTAAAGAAACAGATATTAGTTTTGACGAGATTGATGAGCCAACAGCTAGGCACAGCAGGACCAAGACTAGTAAGTAAAAAAGTAAATGAAACGTATTAATAGAGCGGCTTTTGCAGATAAGGATGCCGCAAAGCATACTCACTACCCAAAGCTCATGACCATAAGCGAGGGCAGGAACGTAGATCGACCGGTAAATCGAGAGCTTCGCCTTCTGACTCAGCTCTCTCTTCACCACGACAGACCTGTACAATGCCCGCATCACTGCAGATGCAGCACCAATCCGCCTATCGACCTCATGCTCCAATTTTCCCTCACTCGTGAACAAGACCCCGAGATACTTAAACTCCTCCACTTGGGGCAGGACCTCATCCCTGACCCAGATAACGTTATTGAAGAAAAAAGTAAGAGCAAACTAAAAGTTTAACGGCTTGCTTTACTGATGGGGATAAAAGCTGTGTTAGGTAGTCGGGTCCCTGGTTATTCAGAGCTCTGTAGCCACAGAGCCAGTGTAGAGAGTGTGTCATCGGGGTCTGGCAGACACTTTTTAAATGGCTCTAGAGGGATGATTTATTCAGACCAGGAAAAGTAGTGTTACAAAAGTCCAGACAAAATAAAACAAAGGCATGGGTTATTTTTTCCAAAATTTGCAGGTGAAACGGTCTTCTGAATTTTTGAGATGTTTCTTAAGTGAAAGAAACAGGAATGGGAGTATGTGTGAATCAAAGCTCAAAACAGAATCAAAGATTATGCCTAGACGAAGGTCATCACTGTAAAAGTGGTTTAAGATGTCAGGGAAAGACTGATTTATGGTGGCTAATGGAAGGACACAGAAAGAAAATAATGTGCTCCAGAACCAAGCCTTGTGGGACCCCACAAACATTGCATGTTTAAGTGTTTGGGGAAAAAGGATTACACATCATTCCTATTTTCTCCACAAAAAGTGTACACACGTTCTTCTTACTTTACATTTTCATTATTTTTGCACTTTTGTTTGTAATTTCTAGTGAGTCTGGCACTACTTTGCAGTTAAATAAACATCAGAGAACATTAGTGAAGAAAAAAGTTGGCAGACACCATCAATCACTGTTTCTGAGCTAAATCTGATCTTATGATCTGTATGAAAGCAAAGTATTCATGCAATTACTTTGCCCAGTAAAATACATTTTGCATTGTCATAGTCTTTCTGAGCTTTGCTTTCAGTATTGCCTTAATTTAGCATCTGACCTCAGGCTCATATCACAAACATCATCGTTATCTGTTTTGGAATAAGGGTGACCACAAACTACGAGGCAAATTCAGTTGATGTCAGAGCAGCAACCATCTCCGTCATCTGGCTCCTCTCAGGCTGATTTCCTGTCACAGAGAAATCAAAGAAGAGTCACAGAAGAGGTTTTTAGACTGATGAAAAAAGTTGTGTAAGGCAGGACAGGTGGGAAAGGTAAATGTCAGGAGGAGATGGGTCGATGGTTCAGTCTTGGCATAAAATGAGAATAAGGAAAGAGGAAATGTGTGGCAAAGACAGGGAGAAGTGGTGGAGAGTGGGGACTATGTTGTGTTCAATACTTCAGTTTCACTCTCAGTCAGCTGGCATCGCTATTGATAATTAGCACTTGATGTTTCAAGTCTACAGCTCCCTTTGCTATAATTGTTTTTTATCTTATCTTATTTATCTATGCCATGCTCCAGTTATTTGGCTTGGATCCAATCAAAACCTGTTCAACAGAAGAAAGAAAGTGTCAGAGAACACAATCCAAGTTTGTTGATGCTCTGACTTTTTGGTGGCTGCCTAGTTTGAGATTCTTAATTGTGATGCCTTGTTAGCATTGATGTGCTAGCTCAAGCCAGTTCTGCTCAGCCAATCCAAGACCTCTGGCACAATTCAAGCCTCAATGATCTGCCCTGCTTCTGTTGGAGGTCAAGTCTTAGTTGGCATTTCCTGTGTAAATGATGGGTAGTTTACATCTTACTTATGAACCATAAAATGTGAGATTCCATAGAAATATGAAATATCAATCTGATGGATCTTTGAATATTTCAACCAGAAGATCAGAACTTTTTATTGCAGGGATTACTTGACACTTCGCATTAACTCTGAGGAAAGAGAGAGAGAGTCAGGTTTATAATAGTTAAGAGATGTATTTCTACACAATTTAAATGGGCATTATGGAAGTTTGACAGCCAAAACATGTGTAGAAATAATAGATTTCTTCTTAATACATTCTCCTGCAATGCCCTGGTCCTGTAGAATGAGCCCTGGCATTTTTACTGTGATTGCCTATTTTTCTGTAAAATCACAGAAAAAGAGAGCTGCTCGGGTCGAGCAGGCTGCTTCATGCGCGTTCACGCTCAGGCATAGCCCTCCAAACCGTTCTTTGAACTTTGTTTCAGCTGTCATCAAAGATATAAATGTTACAGACACAAAGTGTGTCATTGGTGCTTTAGCTCGCCTAGTAAGACCTCGGACTTTCGTGCAGAGGACCCGGATTCGATTCTGGATGCGAACATAGTTTATTTAGAGTTTCATTTTTACATTAATGGTATATTTTTTTACAGTAAGGTGCCCAAATTTTTATTTGAGACTCGCCGAATGGCATTGAATTCACAGATAAAAAAGATGTGGGTTCAACTTTCATTTTGGAACAATTTTTCAAGCAAGGGAAGGGAATGATCTGAGCATGCAGGAGGACTGGCCCATCTTAAACCTTTGTCAGCTGTGCTGAAGAGAAAGGTACAGAACCAAATTATTTAATTTATTAGCTGCGCGTTCTCCTGTCCTCTGTCCTCCGGGCCACACACACACACACACACACACACACACACACACACACACACACACACACACACACACACACACACATACACAAGGGACTGTCTCAGCTGTTATTTTCGTTAAGGAGTGTGCACGTACAGCATGCGCGCCTCGTGCACAAGCCTACTATTGAAGCTGCCGTTATGCTTTTGGCTTGAGGGGGCAATTGCGAGCATGAAAATTCAAAACTCCGTAAAGTCCCTTTAAACAAAACCATGGACGTCACTAGGATTGAGATATAGGGGGGGCTTAGCCCCAGGAGCTTGACCTCGAACGTTTTTTGTCACACCCTGCAAAAACTTTGTCAATTAATTCATTATTTGAAGAACATTTAACAAAACCTATTATTTTATCACTTTCTTTTCCTTTCCTAATTTTGTGCATTTTCTCTCTTCTTTTTATAAAAATAACGCTTAATCAGTTCATTAGTGGGGTCTATGTTGAAGAAAGATTTTATGTAAGTCCATTAAAAATTAGATAGGTTATATTTCCAAATAAAGCTATTCATTTCAGTCTACTGCACTTAACAGGGGGAAATGTTGTAGTCATTTATTTAATTTGTTTAATTACAACTTGTTTAATTATAAATGTTACTGAAATGTGACAATAAAGAACAAATGAATAATTGTAAAACTTTTTTTCTGCCAAATGAGTGTGCAGTTGACAGTTTTAATATATGAATAACACTGCTATGATATGGAATAAAGGAGTATGTAATTAACAATTACAAGACAAAATAACAGTATATATAAAAATATCCAGCAAGTAGTAGAACTTATAATACAGAAAGTCAACTATACAGATACAACTTGACATAAGGTTGCAGGCCAGATGATAATTATAGTTATTTTTTTCTCAGTGTCTCTTACCTGTTCACTCCTAAATAGAAAACTGTTCAATTTTGCTTGGGAACTTTGTGCTCAGGTAAATGCTCATAACGGTGCACTCGCCCCTGTTTTCGCTGTAGATCACTGACCTTGACCATGCAGATCTCCTCAGCATCAACCACCTGGTCTCTCTCCTGTTCCTCACTCACTCTCTTAAAAAATCTTCGTATATCCATCTAGCCAACACATTGAAAAACATTTTCAATTTCTAATGCCAAGACAAATGCTACTATGCCATATAGTTTTCACTCACAATAATTGAAACAGCCATTGGTGGATAAATGGGACAGAATATGGACAACTGTTAGCCTAATATAGCCTATGCTTGGTTGCTCATGATGATGGCATTTTCCATAACATCACATCGAGCTGCCAAAATTTATGTTAAAGTTAGATGAGTACAATATCTCCTTTCTTTACCATAGGTAAACATAGGAAATATTAAGCAATTGACAACCCACATGGAAAGAATTCATATAAACATATAGGTTTTAATATATGTTTTGATATAGCTTTTAAATATATGAGACATATATAAAACTGGCTGTTTATTATAGATACATATATGTACCTATAATATAATATATATATATATATATATATATATATATATATATATATATATATATATATATAATATAGAAAAACGGTCAATAATATACATTCGGCCAGATTCTGATTCAGGTTTTTAGTGTGGAGTGATTTTTGTGCCACCAACTGGAGTGTGCAGTGATCAATCTGCAAGAGCACAACGTCGTATGCAGCCCTCTCTCTGCATGCTCAACTCCGTCTCTGCCTGCACAAATCTCCCTGCTGTTGCTCAATTTGCAATTTACAAAGCAATGTAGCCTCTCTGTCAGCCAATCAGAGAGCTCTCCATTATGCAATCAAAGCATGTCCAGGAAATACTGGCAGGAAAATTGCACTTTTTTCAGATAAAGAGGACTTTATATAATTATATTTAATTAGGTTGATTAACCCTCTTCTTTTCCTGGGACATTTCCACTGTTCACTTCCTTTTACACATCAAGGGATCATTTATGTCTGACCAAACAGAGAAGAAACACTTTATATGTTGAAATTAAAAGTCATTTTTAACTGAAAAGAGTGCAATTTAACAGTTTTAGGAATAGGCAATGTGTCTTTTCTGGAAGTCAAATATGGTCACCCTAATCATGACACATGAATTACAACAAATTATCTTGCAGGCAGTGGATGGTGACTGGTAGCTAACCAGTAGCAGAAAGCAGTTCAATAAGCTGTTAAATGGGTATTTTTCTGTAAAGCAGTGTTTCCTGGACATGCTTTGATTGGATAAAACAGAGCTGTCTGTGATTGACTGTTGGAGAGGCTACTTGTTGAGGAGAGCAGGGAGAGATTTGCATGTGCAGAATTGATCCCATAGAGAGGGCTGCAGCTGCTGCACATAAGTGCAGAGCAGGTTCTGTTTGTGCAGACTCATTACTGTACGCTCAAGTTGGTGGCACTAAGTCACTCAATGAACTGGCTGGCTGGTTAATCACGTCACTTCAGGGGAGTTTTCCGACCATTTTACTTGACATCAAAGCTTTTCATTATGGTTTGCGGCATGTAAACATGCTAGCGGAGTTAGCATTAGCATGTCGGTGCGGTAGCATTTTCCTCTCTCGTCTGAACTATAACCTTGAAATGTTAACGGTGTCCTGCTGTTGCTGTCTTACCCTAATGTGATGTTGAGTGACTTACATGAGCGCTGAGCAGGGTTTGCTCATCGATATATAGGTTTTTCTGTATCGACCCGCCCCCTGACTTGTCAACAAAGCTGCGGGCTTAAGGAAGTGGAGGAAGTTCTTTCTTGATACTTCCTGTGTGCGACAGTGTAGTTCTATATTCATTAATTATTATTTCTGTTTCAGACTAAAAAACTCATGTACCATACACGTGTAGTGATTGTGTTCAGCATGTAGATGTGAACAAATAAAAAAAAGTTAACTGAAAAAATAAAATAAACCAAAATGATAGGGGGGCTTGTGATTATTTTAGGGGGGCTGAAGCCCCCCTAAAACGGACCTAACGACGTCAGCGAACAAAACTATCTTAAACACTCTGTGTACTGATGGAACTAAGGTGGAGTGAGACGTGCGATGATGGTGTGTATGTGTAATGTTATTATCAGAACCAACGGATCCGGAGAAGCATTTAGATCTTAGTGGGAGTGAATGTTTCACTCTAAACTTTAGTTGGAGGTTTATAACACACATGAAACACCATCCTTCGGTCTATGTACCCCAAGGGAAGCCTCCGTTTAGATCCAGAATGTCGAGGTCCTTTTGGATCCTCCTTGGAACCGAAGCCGGTAGAAAAGTAGCGGTGCTGACCAAACTAGTCTTGGAATGCTTCCAGGTTGTCACGACGTGCTGGTGAGTGGAGCGGAGGTGAGGATCCAAATGCTGGGGAGGGATCAGGCAGGCAGACAAACTGGAAAAACTTAAAAGTTTTTTAATGATCACAGGACACAGGACATGGAAACAATGAGGCAACAGGAGAAACAGAACTGGAGGGGTTTAAATACAGGAGGGCTGGGAGCTTGGGTGATTGGGAAACAAGAGGCAGGTGGGAGCAATCAACAGAGACACAGGCTTGACAGCATCCCTAACCGCCGGTGTCCACCAGCAGGTTCGGGGATTGCCACCTCGACAGGCACTGACGATCCTGTGACCACAGCTCCGGTCGGCCGCCTCAACAATGGAGGCACGGAACAGGGTCCATTCAGACTCAATGTCCCCCACCTCCCCCGGAACATTTTGGAAGTTCTGTCGGAGGTGGGAATTTAAGCTCCTTCTGACAGGAGACTCTGCTAGACTTTCCCAGCAGACCCTTGCGATACGTTTGGGACTGCCTGGTCTGACAGGCATCCTCCCCACCATCTGAGCCAACTCACCACCAGGTAGTGGTCAGTTGACAGCTCCGCCCCTCACTTCACCCGAGTGTCCAAGACATGCGGCCACAGGTCAGACAAAACAATAACAAAGTCGATCATCGATCTGCGGCCTAAGCTATCCTGGTGCCAAGAGCACATATGGACACCTTTATGTCTGAACATGGTGTTCATTATGGACAATCCATGACTGGCACAGAAGTCCAATTACAAAACACCACTCAAATTCAGATCAGGGGGGACGTTCCTCCCAACCACACCTCTCCAGGTCTCACTGTCGTTGCCCACGTGAGCGTTAAAGTCCCCCAGCAGAACGAGGGAGTCACCGGAAGGAGCGCTTTCCATCACCCCCTCCAAGGTCTACAAAAAGGGTGGGTAGTCTGAACTGTAGTTTGGTGCATAAGCACAGACCACAGTCAGAACCTGTCCCCCCACACGTAGGCGGAGGGAGGCTACCCTCTCATTAACTGGGGTAAACCCCAACATGCAGGCACCAAGATGGGGGCAACTAGTATGCCCACCCCTGCTCAGCGCCTCTCAGTGGGAGCAACTCCAGCGTGGTAGAAAGTCCAACCCCTCTCAAGGAAACTGTTTCCGGAGCCAGAGCCATGCGTTGAGGTGAGTCCGACCATATCTAGTCGGAACCTCTCAACCTCACACACCAACTTAGGCTCCTTCCCCACCAGAGAGGTGACATTCCATGTGCCAAGAGCCAGCTTCTGTAGCCGAGGATCAGACCGCCAAGGTCCCCGCCCTCAACTACCACCTGTCACACACTGCACCCGACCCCTTTTGCCCCTCCCACGAGTGGTGAGCCCACCTTCTTCCACCTTTTTAAGTAAAGGGACTGTGCTAAGTCATGAGTTTATGTACTCAAAATAAAAAGCCTGAGATGATGCCACCAGGCAGTATTCGTCATCCGTCCATCCAT